AGGTTAACATGTATATTTAAAACTTATGTAAAACTAAGATATACCAGTTAACCAACTTGGTTTCTTCCACTCCTTCCCATATGCCATACTTGAACAAACTTCTAGCTTAAATCCTTGAAATGTTTTCTTTGAAGGAGTCCAATAGTCTCTATTTCTATTACTCCTTCATATTTACTAGGTCCTATTAACTGAAAGTAATACTTGATTGGACTAAAACTAGAGAATGTCAAGTACTTACAAATCTTTAGCCCTACTTGATTGTTTTAGTTGGTAATGTGGGCTACACTGATCAGGTCTCCCTTGGTATGTCACTTATATACAGAACCCAGATGATCCAGACACAGTAGATGTCATCATGCATATGCTGGATCGAGACCATGATCGAAGACTAGACTTTACTGAGTTTCTTCTGATGGTATTCAAGCTGGCCATGGCCTGCAACAAGGTTCTCAGCAAAGAATACTGCAAAGCTTCAGGGTCAAAGAAGCATAGGCATGGTTACCGACACCAAGAGGAAGAAAATGAAACAGAAGAAGAAGAAGAGGAGACACCAAGACGGAAAAAAGGTTACAGACATTCAAGTTGGAATGAGGGAGAGGAGCATGGATATAGTTCTGGGGGCTCGAGGGGTACTGCAAAATATAGACAGGGGTCCAACTCCAGGAGGCTGAGAAGGCAAGGTGAATTATCCAGCTCCGAAGGATCTGAGAAAAGGTATCAGGGGTCTGGTTCTGGACACTCCTGGAGTAGTGGCAAAGAAAGACATGGTTCTAACTCCGGGGAACTACGGGAAAGAAACAAGTCATATGGTAGCCCCTCTAGGGAATCTGGGGAGGAATATGTATCTGGATCAAAGAGTCAGGGAAGGAAAAGTCATGGTGGTTTTTCACATGGACTAGAGACTAGTGAACATGAATCAAACTCTACGCAGTCAAGAAAGAGTGGAGGACAAAATCTTGGGTCTAGCTCTGAAGGTTCAGGAGACAGTAGGAGACAAAGTCATGCATGTGGTTATAGTAATTCAGGTGGGTGTGGAAGGCCACAAAATGCTTCTAGCTCTTGTCAGACAAGTAGATTTAAAGGGCCAGGAAACCAATCTAGCTGTCCTCAGTCAGGTTGTCAATCAGGAAGTAGTGGAGGACAAGGTCATAGATGTGTCTCAGGAGGGCAGTCCTCTAGATATGGTCGATCTGATCCTAGTTCCTGCAGGCAGTCTTGTAGTCAGCGAAGATGTGAATCTAAACAATGCGGTCAACCACAAAACTGTGGAGGACAACAAGGAACAGGCTCAAGTCAGTCCTCTTGCTGTGCAAAATATGGCTGTGGAACAAGTCAGTCTTCTAGTTGTGGTCAACATAGATCTGGTTCTTGTGGACAGTCTTCAAACTCTCATCAAAAAGGGTCTGGTCCAAATGAATTTTCCAAATGTGGTCATCATGGGTCTGGTTCAGGTCAGTCCTGCAGCAGTGAACAACATGGACCAGGCTCGGGTCAGTCCTCTGGTTTGGGGCATCACGGGTCTGGCATAGGTCAGTCTTGCTGTGGCCAGTATGGGTCTGGCTCAAGTCAGTCTTCTGGCTGTGGTCAACATGGGTCTAGCTCAAGTCAGTCTTCTGGCTGTGGTCAACATGGGTCT